GGCACTGTCCCTCAGTTCTTCAGCTCAAGGCTAGCGCTCTACCACTTGAGCCACAGCACTACTTCTGGCTTTTTCTACTCATGTGGTGCTGAGGAAACAAGCCCAGGGCCTCATGCATGCAAGGCAAGCACTCTACCACTGAACCACCTTCCCAGCCCCAACATTGGTGATTTTTTTTAAGTCATTCACAGAAACATCAAAAGCTTGAGTTGACTATAGGAATATTCACATACCATAGTATCACAGACATTGTTTGGGTCTTGTATATGAGTCTTGCTGGATGGAGAAGACATTGAAGTGTGAGATCTATATATATCAAGATTGTGAAAGAGACATTCTGTGTTAGGTCATGTGCCCTTCCCACCCTTTCCATCCATTGCCTTGCTCCCTGGCCTGAATCCCACTGACCTGGAACTGTCTCCCAGATGTCTGACAAATGGTCATCTTCAGCACTGTTGACCTGCATTAATCAGGTCGAGGTGGGTTCACAACTTCATTCAGCCCTTGTTAAGTATCTACTTAATCACCTTCAGAAGGTGAAATAGCATGCTGTGCTTGGGAGTGATTTTGTAGAACTTTGCTAAGAGTAGTATCTACAAAGAGGAAGCTTGTTGGCTTTGTTCTCATCCCTGAATTTTGACCTACTCCTCACCAACCAAGGCAGTTGCTCTGGCTGAGAGAGCAATTATGCTCATTTTTGCCTTTTTTTTTAACTTAGGAAAAAATGTCTCCTCTGCATTGTTGTGGAGGCTGGATAAATGAGACAGATAGATGGGGGCAGGTATGAGGAGGTGACAGGAGTTGGTTGCCGAGTTACCTTTGTGATCCATCTCTGCAGAAGCCAGTGTTAATTCCATGGAGACTCAGCAAGACTGTTCTCCAGCAGTGACAGTTTGGACATCTAAACATGACCTTGGATGTGCCCAAAACCGCAGCTGAAGCTATGCCAACTTTTCAGTGAAGTATATCCCGAGAGCTGCATAGCCGTGCTGGAAATTGGCTGCGTGCGCAGCCTTCATGTGGCCACAAAGGAACTCTTTGGCCTTGTAACGCAGCGAACTGTGGTGGGAGGGCTTCTGTTTCAGCTAATTCTCAGTAATTAGACACTGATCAGGAAGCCAGACTGTCCTCTGGTACCCCTCTTGAGGTTGTGAGATGCACATGCTGTGAGCACCCACAGCCATTATGCATAAAGCTGAGAGTGTTTTGGTCAGAATTCCCTGCACCATGGGCATTTAACTGGTATCTGGTCAGATTTCAACTGCTGAGAGAGAGAAAAAATAACTAGGAGTCTACTATAGCTTTCTAGACCATAATGATTACAAGAACATTCTCAACCACAAAGTAATGGGAAATGGTTTCTGAATCATTTCTTAGTGCTCATTCACTCTGTGCTCTCGTGTCACCAGTAACCAGATATCTAAATAAATGGTTCTCAAAGCCAGAGCATCAGCACCACTTGGGGGGTGAGACAGAAAGGCAGGTTTGAAAACTCCAAACTACTAAGCCAGGAGCTTGGGGACAGGGACACAGACACCTCTGTTTTATCGAAACTTCTGTTTCAAGTTGTGAACTTCTGATTTAACTGGTCTTATTTTTTTCTGTTTGTTTGAGACCTAACAAGAGAGTGAATTTGAGAAGTAACAAAAAAAAACAAAGAGAAAATTGGGGTGAATACTGGTGCTGGTCCGGTCCTACAGTTCAGTGTCACAATGATCTTAGTCTCAGTTATTTCATCTATAAAATAGCAACAGTAAGTGAGCACAGCCACATTTTTGAGCTGTGATTAGTACATGGAATGAGTTTACGCAGTTCCGAGCAGAGTGATATGTGTCCAAGAAGCATTGGCCACCAGTGTCAGTTACAGCCATTCTCTACTTGGACCCAAGCAATATCAAAGCTTTGCTATGAATGTTGACACATGTTATAAGGAAAGAAGGCTATTAGTGTTTTGTCCTTTTTGAGGGATTTCAACCAATGTGGTTCCAAAGCCAGCTTTCAGACAGCCCAGCTCAAGATGAATGTAACTGGTTCTGTATGGAACGTAAGGGAAGGAACAGGATCAGGAAGTTCCTCTGTCAGCTGTTTTCTGTCTGAGAATGCTTTGGATAGTGTCATCAAAGCCCAAAGGAAGAGTTGGAATGACTTCTTAATCTAGTCTAACTTCCATGTCAATTGAAGTTACCTGGAGATCTTGGGAAAATGCAGATTTTGCTCCATTGACTCTGATATGGGCTTTATATTTTCTGTTTATTTTTCTTTTACTATAATGGTGATGTACAGAGGGGTGACAGTTACATAAGTAAGGTAATGAATACCTTTCTTCTGAATAGTGTTACCCTCACTCTTATTTTCTCCTGCTTTCCAACCCATCCCCTGGCTCCCTTTCCCCCTAAGTTCTAAAATTCATTTCCAGCGTGGTGTCTAGTGAGTATCACTGTTACATTGGTTCACCCTTTGTCCCACCATTTCTGTGATTCTTTTTCCCTTCCCTAAATCAAATCATCTTATATGTAAGACAAAGGGTACAGAATAAACCAAAGAGGAAAAAAAAAACAAAGAAAAAGAACTGCAAACAGCACTGGGGTTTGAGATCATGGCTTCACACGTACTAGACAGGAGCTTACCACCTAGGGGATGCCTCCAGCTCCTAGGATCACTGACATTGGCATCATCGACGAGAACCTAAATTTGGGCTCTTGGTCCTGATTTCATATCTATTTATCAGCAAGACCTGCCCCTCCCAGGCAATTTGTAAGCACAGTAAAGTTTGAGATGTAGTCACAGCTGGGTCCATGGTTATTTATGTGCATAAGGAAGTACATTTTCTTAAGTGCTTTGCTGTGTCCATTTCAAAGTTCTTCCTAACTCTTTTTTTTGGGGGGTGGGTCCGATCATAGGGCCTGAACTCTGAGCCTGGACGCTGTCCCTCAGCTCTTCAGCTCAAGGCTAGCGCTCTACCACTTAAGCCACAGCGCCACTTCTGGCTTTTTTCTTTTTGCTTCTGTGGTACTGAGGAATCGAACCCAGGGCCTCATGCATGCAAAACAAGCACTCTACTACTGAGCCACCTTCCCAGCCCCTCTTCCTAACTCTTGAGCAAAGATCTCTGCCTTTTCATTTCACACCTCACAAATTATGTAGGTGGTACTAAACTGCGACACCAGTGGCTTTCCAACAAGTGTGACCCAACTGGATTCTTACCTTAACTTTGTACACACACACACACACACACACACACACACACACACACACACACACACACACGTATATGGGTTTCAAAAAAATTCAGAATCAGCAGAATAGGGGATGATAAAGGTTATGAACCTCTCTTGTGATTCTGACATAAGTGGCCCATGCTTGCTTTGAAAAGCAGTCCCCTGACCCTTTCCTAGGCAGGTCTTCCATTCTATTATATCAGAATGAGCTAGGGAGTCCTTACATTGCTCCTACATCGCTAGAAAATATTTTAAGCAATGTTAAACTTGCTGAACTCCAGTTGGGCAGTTTTCCCCCACAGAATTCTCAGCAAAGCATTCACCTACACCCAAGTGGCCTTCCAATGGTAGTGTCATTTACACTAGTAAACCAGAAACAATGCACAGTGTCAGTGGTCTCATCTTGAGAGAGACCATCTGGGGAAGCAAGAAATAGTAGTGCAGCAGTGCCCAGGAAAAGCTCCTAATTTTTTTTTCTATGGTCAGAGAGACCATTTGGAGAATTTGATAGGAAAAAAATTCCTCTCACTGAAAACTTCTCCTTTACACAGTCTGAGGCATACACAGGACCAGAAATCGGTAGAGTTGACTAGGAGATCTGATTTCAATACTTTCTGTCTCTAACGTTGGGCAAGACTAAACACTTGGAACTCTGAAGTTCTGTTCTTTAAAGCAGCAAATGGTAAAAGTATCTATACTCAGATTTGTTGCAGGAATCAAATGTGAATGTAAGAGGCCTTTGTACACTGCCAAAAGATTTATAATATGAGGCATCATTATACATACCAAGCAACATAGCTATTTCCAGCAATGGTACTCAGGATCAGGACAGCGTGTGTGTGAATTCAGCCTAAGGCCATAGAACATACTTAGTGTAGCAAGAGAGAGAAATGAATCCAGACAGAATGTTATGATGAAGAGTTGGCGAGAGTCTCTGGGAGATTTCAAAGTACAGAAAAGGGAAGGAAGCTTCTACAATTTGAGAACTCCAGATGCAAAAATAAGAAAGGATATCTATTTTTATACATGCAAACAGTTTGGGGATTTTTTGGAAAATGCCTTTAGTCTAGCAATAATTGAACATTTCTGCCCTTGGATATAATGAAGATAAATAGCAATGGTGGTGGTCCATATTTAGGTTTGACTTCAGAAGCCTTCTGTTAGAATTTGCTATTCTGAGATGAGTGCAATGATGGGTGGTAGTTAAAAGCTGGATTTCTGAGCTAGCACATATTAACTGTATGGTTTGGAAAGGAATTTAGTTTCTTTGTGCCTAAATTCCTGTTCTAGTACAGACTAACCATTGGGCTATTATAAGTACTAGACAACTTGTTACTACAGCCATAACCTGTAGTGCTAGGGAGGTCTACCCATTTGGAGTATAAGCAAGATGCATGCAGGTTGTAAGTGAGAAGTTCTTTTGGAGTGACAATTTCTTCTAGTGGTGTGAGGAGCACTGAACTTCTCAGGACCTAGAAATCAGACACATCCTATAATCCCTAAAACTATAATCCTGATAAATTTCAGCTACATTCCAGAAAGTCCCACCAATAAAAACAAAATAAAAATCAAACATGGGAAATGCATGCGTGTATCCTGGGAGTAAAAGAGGACGATAAGTCATAGTAAGAAGATGGATGTTTCCTTCCTAACCTTGCCAGAAGGGAAAGCTCTCAGTCTAATGGCTTTGGTTTTTTATTCTCTTTTGTGTGTGTGTGTGTGGGGGGGGGAGTTTCCCCTGTGTTCCTTTGACTTACCTGTCTGGTCTTTACCTTCCTTCAGGTGCACCATTGACAACCGGGTCACCCGGGTGGCCTGGCTAAACCGCAGCACAATCCTGTATGCTGGGAATGACAAGTGGTGCCTGGATCCTCGCGTGGTCCTCCTGAGCAACACCCAAACCCAGTACAGCATCGAGATTCAGAATGTGGATGTGTACGACGAGGGCCCGTACACCTGCTCAGTGCAGACAGACAACCACCCAAAGACCTCTCGGGTCCACCTCATTGTACAAGGTGAGTGGAGCTTGTCTGAGAGGCCTGGGTAGATGACTGAGAAAGCTGTTATTAAGGATTCTTACTGTGATTCCCAACAGATGAGTTTATTTGTTCTGCCCACTGAGGACACCTTTCTGGTTGTTATTTTGTGTTTAGAAGCGGAATTTTTTTTTTAGTAATTGGCCCACTGATTATAACGAGATTATTTCCCCTTTTTGTTTTTAGTCCAATAATGTATTTCCTAGAAAATTATCTTTTAATTATTGCTTTCCTTGGCTTTCTATCCCTTAAGCATGTTTGAAAATGTTCCAGCGAACTGGAAGCTTGCTTTATTTTATGACCAGCATTTGAATGGTTGTCTGATGCTACACATGTGCCCTGCCCTCAAGCCAGTCTTCAAAGAAAGCAGAGCCAGCCAGCATCCTAGGTTGCTTACAATCTTCCCACCCAACCCCACTGCTGCCCTGTGTGTTGTCTCTTCTTATCTACCAGCCTCATGTTTTCAGCCCCATGTTTTTCCTTCGGAACCAGGCTCAGATAGTCTGCCTCTTAGGGCTCCATAGCATTCCTCCCTGTCTTCCATATTCCCAACCTTATATATTTGCTTGGGGTTTTGTTGGAGCAGGGTTTTCTTTGTTTGTTTGTTTCTTTCTTTTTCAGTATATTTCTCCAAATTCTGCTCTTTGTTTCCTGAGAAACTAATCCTGGGGATACGTGTTCATTTCTTCCCACAGCCAGTACTGGCCCTGGGGCACTTAGAAAACACTTTACAAGTGAATATAATCCTAGTTAAAGAGTAAGAGTTTTAGAGATACATTGGACTGCCATTTGATGGAGAGAGGCTTTGATCAAGTTATCACTGTGCTACAGGGGTATCTTTCTGTAAAAATGAGGTCTATGTGGAAAGTTGGAATGGGGATTATATCTTACACACATAGTCCGTAGAACTTAGAAGAAAACTCATAGAAGGGCAATTTACACGTTACTTTTGTACTATCTTATGTTCTTTTCTCTTTTCAAACACGGTTGTTGTTTTTTCACTTTTAAATACCCTTTAGAGTAGATTAAATGCTCACTTTATGATCACAGATAACAGAAATGCTCTGCTGCTCTGTTGCAGGTTCTTCCTCAGCCTTGTGCCAGGCTCCTTTTCTCCAGCCACATAATGCAGGTGCAGGGTGGTGAAGACCTTCCTGCAGCTGCCCTACTTGTCAGCATGCTTGAGATGAGCAAAACGCTGGGCGTGATTTGGTTAACAGAAAACAGGGAGGGATGTGGCTTGATAAGGAAGGATCATCAGAGCTAGAAGCATCAGCAGGGATGGGAAACCATTTATCTGCCAAAATCCATTTGGATATTTATAACATTTGCTAGCCAGTCAAAATTATCAATACAGGAAGATGGCCCTAGGCAGCTGATGAGAAACACATGTGTCTGGCCCATCCAGTACCAAATGATTTAGCTTGTGAGGCATTCCTCAGTCCTGAACAGAAAGCCACTACAAAAGAGGAAAGACAGAAAACCATGGATAGTAAATCAGAATTGTGAAGAGCAACATAGGGTATGTAGTAAGGGAAGGAGGGCACAAGGAACAAAATGGACCCCCCCCCCAGTCCTGTCCTAGGGAGAGATAATGCTAGGGGAACACTGGTGGTCACACCAAGTTTTTACACATTATTTTTATGCTTTCTTCATGAAAAGAAATTTTGATGATGGCTTTCTTTCTTTTGTTTGTTCTATTAATGAGTATATTTTTCAATCTCCTATGGGCAATTCTGTGTGTGTGTGTGTGTGTGTATGTGTGTGTGCGTGTATACAAGAGTGTGCACGTGTGTGTGTGTTCAATAGCAGGATTTGAACTCAGAACCTCTCACTTGTTCAGCTCCTGACATTTCAGAAATGTCCTGGTTAATTGAAGATGGAGTCTCTTGAACTTGTCTACTCAGGCTGGCTTTACACTGAGATCTGCCAGCTTTCAGTCTCTTAAGTAGCTAGAATTATAGTCATGAGCCATCAGCTCTACGCCAAATATATTTTCAATAGAATAACTTAGAAGTTATCAGTGAATGTCCTAAGTCAGAGAGTAGGTATTGCTACATGAGATTTGGAGTTTGGGTGTGTCTTCATATTCAACAGAGACTATATTTTCATTGTAGATCAACAAAAAGTTTAACAATCGGGGCTGGGAAGGTGGCTCAGTGGTAGAGTGCTTGCCTTGCATGCATGAGGCCCTGGGTTTGATTCCTCAGCACCACATAAGCAGAAAAAGCCGGAAGTGGTGCTGTGGCTCAAGTGGTAGAGCACTAGCCTTGAGCTGAAGAACTGAGGGACAGTACCCAGGCACAGAGTTCAAGCCCCACAACTGAACAACAACAACAAACAGTTTAACAATCACCAGTCAATAGGGTTATCTGGTACATTCTCTGGGGTACTATGTACAATACATACTAAACAGAGTGGTTCAAATCCTTCCTAGGGCCAAATATCTCGTAACAGCAATGAAAAAGTAGAAATGGTGAGACATTTGCTCTTGGAAGCAGTGCCTTTATGAAACTGGAAAACAAGAGGAATGAAAAATGCTAAAACTTTCTTATAAACCAGAAACCACTTTTTAGGTCATTTTTCTCTTCTGTCACCTTTTCACATGTACCCACACGATTCTGCCCTTAACACTTAATAGAGTGGCATGTATAAATTGAATATTTAGTTCATGCTTATTGAAACAGATGGCTAGAATTATAGCACCAAGATCTTCTATGGACTCCAAGCATTCGAGACTGAGTAGTTGGTGTTGGCGGGGGGAGGTAATGGAATGGTGGGGGCTGCAATCGACATCTTTCTTCACTCACGTCCAAGCTAATGGAAAATGTCTAATCCACAGCTAGGTGTTTACACCTGTGACTTGTTAGGTGCCCTCGTAGCTTGACACACCACCTGGAGTATTGGAATCGCATCTTGGGCTAATTTTCAAATGCTGATGGGTATATCGATCTAGAAACAAGCTGGGTTAAAAAAGGCATTGGTCTTGTACACAGACTCAGCCCAAGCTAATCCGCTGTCAATATGCCTGGACTGAGTATTATTGACACTTTAATGAATACAGGACCATAGTGTTTTCAGAGCCAACTAGTCCCCCCTCTTCAAAGCAATCAGACAAACTAAATAGAGCTAGGCTTCTCTGTTTTCTATGTTGGAAGAAGATACACTAACCATTGAGGATTAAAAAAAAATATGTTTATCTTGGGATCATTTATTACACAGAACAGAGACACTAGCAGAATGTGACTATCTGGATTTAAGTTGCTTTTACAACTCTTAATCAAACACTGCTAGCATGCAAATCATTTTACCTACATATTGTTTTCAAGATTGTTTTTAAGGCCATTAAACACAATAAAAGAAATTCAGCAGTATCAACAAAAAAACTGTGATAGTCTGACTATGTGTTTATGTCTGTATAGTCAGTATCATTTATAAATAATTCCACACAGAAGTAGGTAGTGGAATTTTTACAGTATTGTACAACATATTTAAGGTCTAGAATTAATGGAAACATCCTATCTAATTGATCATTATTTTGTTCACATTGTTTTCTTATTTCCAATGGAGGAGCTTGAATTCAGGGTCTTCTTGACAACCATGATACCATTTTTATTTCAATCTGAGAAGTGGGCCCTAAGCCCTTTGTGCATAAAAATTCCTGCCTTCCTTCCTATAATCAGTGATCACTGAGAACTAACTCTGGCAACATGTACCCTAGCCAAGATAGAAGATGAATGATGGAAAAGTACTCTTGACGAGCTTGTTCACTCTGTGTGGAGAAGATGGAATTGTGTAACATTTAGCTAAACCATCCCTAAGAATTTAGTTTCTGGGAATACAGATGTCAAACCTCCTCTCCAAACACTTTTGGAAACACTGAAGTATGTGTGGTCTTCTTACTTCAATGATTTCTGATGAGACATTTAAAAGTACTCAGAAAGAATCCAGACCAAAATCAAACTGGTCCATTTATGTGGCAGGCAATGTCCATAATGCTGCTAAGTGCTACATTTTACATTAGTTCCAGGACAAGCAGCTAGGGTGTAGGGGCTGGGGGCTGAGAGGTGAGAGATGTGAAATGGGAGCTGTGATCTGAGTGCTTGCAGCTGAGAGGTGAGAGCTTGAGGCTGAGCAATGGAGTCTCAGGGGCAAAGGGCTTGCTCAGGGCTGGTGGCTAGAAGCCCAGGGCTCAGGGCTGGTGGCTAGAAGCCCAGGGCTGAGGGCTGGTGACTAGGGGCCCAGGGCTGAGGGCTGGCAGTTAGCCCAAGCCTCAGGGCTCTCCTCTTCCTTTCCTTTGCTTCAACATTAAGTACCACTTATCATCTCCTAACTCTTAGTTTTTCTTCTTCGTTCTCTGGGCTGTTTTTTGTGCTTTTTTAATAATGTCCCATATCTTTGTGGCAAAGCACAAAGTAAAATGCAGAGCCCTTTTTGTCTTTTATCAGTTTATCTCTTTACCTACTAAAACCGGACATTTTAGTATTAGAGGTTTTTGTTAATTTATTTGTTTGTTTTTTGAGAGCTGTAGGGTTGTATCAATTTCTCCATACCATTTCTGCATTCCTGTGGTACGGAGTTGAGAGTTGAAGGTAGCTCCGAATCAGGATGAAGCAAGGCCTAGGCTCCATGTAAGAGCTCTTGCTTCTTACAGACAATAGGCAGTAGAGGAAGTTGTAGGAGTGACTATGAAGTAGAGGAGAGTACCATCAAAATAAGGATATATGTCCAAGCCCATTGGTCCAAGAGTAGGAATCAAAGGAAGAATTGGAGACAAAAAGCTCAGCGCATGCAAAGGACGTGGGCTCAGCTGGAGGGAAAGGTGCTGATGGCACTTCTCAATAGCATTATGTACAGGCAGTTTTTAGGGGAGCAGCAGCTGAGAAAGGATCGGGCTGTGGGCTGGAGACACAGCCCAGACAATCACATGGGCAAGTTTCCCAAGCAAGTGCAGAATAAGAGCCAAGGAACCAGTGTGA